AATCTGGAAGAAAAAAACATTCTACAATGGAAAATGGAATCTCCGATGTTATGGACAACTACAGAAACTAGAAATATAGCGACATAAAAGCCTCAGTAAAACTAGGCCGATCGACCGATCGTTTACTATTTCAGGACCGCGACCGCCAATATCAAATCGAAACAAGACCCTTCTCATTGACAGGCATACACCATCAAGCTTGTTCTGTTGTCCCTCTTTACCCCGCATTGTAGCGGCTGAGATGGCCAAGTGCCCAACCAGTCGGTGAGGATTTTCCACTCACCTTATGATGTCACCGGGGGCCATATGCCGACTAGTTTTTATGATCGGCGTCGAAAACATGACAGGGATGGGGGTGAAAACACTGAGAACCCGGGTTTTCACGATATCGCACTGAATGTGTCGGGCGAGGGAAATGTCGCCTGACTTTTGACATAAAGGTGTGAGATATGAAAGTAAGAACCCGATTGTGACTGGAATAAAGGAATATGGTTTCCTTTGGAGCTGCAGAGTGCTTAGGAACCACGGCCTGCACACTCTCCGGTTTAAAAGTGTTGCTAGGAGTTAACCTACAATTGCGCCCTGAGTCTAATAAGGTATCTGGCATCTGACAGGCTAGTTAAATCAAGTAGCTATTGCAAACGAAAAAAAATAGTGTAAAGTCTGCAGTGCAGGTATCAAACATCGTTGCAAACATCATATCTAAAAATGTTGACAAGAAGAAAACATAATATGGTTGTCAACCCCCTCAGGACAAAAGAGAACCATGCAATATCATTAGAAATTTTGAACAGTAGAAATAATTTATATGTTCTTTTGGCCTTCGAAACATTCTATAGACATGGAATCTCATTCAAGTCATATATCCACTGCAATCAATTAGCTTGACCCAGGTGACACTTGCATTTTAACAACCACTCGCAGAAATATATATGTATGTGTTGATCTCCGAAGACTTCGTGAATCGTCGACTGCAAAGACAAATATATTCGTCGAGAACTAGTGGGCAAATCGGAAGTCCAATCTTTTGTTACCCTCATCTTTCGTTGTGCTCAGGTAATGGTGTTTCTGCTCGGGGCTCATAGCATTCCAAATCTGTTCACGTGTCTTGTTTCTCCGTGTATAGTAGACCTTAATGAAGATGGTGACCACGACATTCCATGCCACAATAGCAAGAAGAATCTTGTTTCCCTTGCGGTAGTAGGGTTTATCATCCGTTCGGTAGATCTGAAATGGAAAATATGTTAGTCATAAATCTAAGTTAAAGTATGAAAAGTGCCGCTGGGCGTATTGGTGAACATACGTTGGATGAAATGATAGCACCTGCTTGGCAAATCATATTATATACTGCACTTCCCACAGTGCGCGTGCGGACCGAACCAGCGTTCCGCGAGATCAAACTGACTATAAGAAGAAACTTCATCAGCAAAGGTGAGGTATTGTTGGAAGATATTAGTACTAACCGTTGATAGAATGAACGTAGGGGAAACCAATAACCAGAACTGTAACTGCGTACCAGCTCCAAGGACTTGCAGTTGCCGGCATCAACTCGAGTGCCATCAAAAGAGGGAAAACCCAGAAAGAATAAAATAGCACAATAGCCATGCGGTTGTTGATTTTCTCGGAGACCCAAGACCAAAAGACCAATTGGATCAAGAACAACACGGTTGCAGGAATGGTGAGAAGATTTACTTCGAAAGTATCGAAGCCAAGTGACCTTAAAAAGAGGGTCAGGTATGCTGATTCGGGATTGGTAGGAACCAGCAGTGTGAGACTGATGAGATACATTGGCCAAAGATCATAGTCCATTAGAGCATCCCACAGAAGTTTGGGTGTGAGACCTTGACGATTATGCATGCCACCCTAGGGTCCAGAGTTAGTTTGTGTGTGCGTAAATTTTGAAAACGAACCCGCCTTATACGTACCTTTCCTGGATCATCTCGCAGGACTCGATTGACCATGATGATTTCTTCCCTCTCTGAGAACCAACCATCCTTTCCTCGGAACCAGCTTGCAGTTTGGGTCGGACCCGGAGGTAGATAGAACCAAGAGATGACACCAATAAGCAGTGTCAAAGCGCCCTCGAGAACAAACAGCCACCTCCAACCTTCCCAGTCGCCTATGGATCGCATGCGCAGAATTCCAAATGCCAAGAATGCTGCGACGATAGCAGTGCCGTTGGAGCAACAGTAGAAAAAGGCGACCCGCATAGGGAGCTCCTTATTCGTATAGAAGTAGGAAAGGTAAAGGAGTGCATCGGGAATGAAGCCACCTTCAATCAGACCAAGCAGTGCGCGGGTAGCATAGAAGCTGTGCTCGCCGCTGACTAGGCCCTGACAGATTCCGAGTACACTCCAGAGAACCATTTGAATCGGAATCCATACGTCGGGACCAAGCTTTTTCGAGATCATTTGCGATGGCACTTCTGCGCACAGGAAGCAGAGGTAGAATATCGTCATTCCATAGTTATACTGATTAGTTGATAACCCGAGGTCATCAAGCATTCCGTCAGATAACGCTTGTCCGATATTTCCCCGATCCAGCTGAAGGGCAAAGAACATCAGACAAACCCAAGAACAGATCCTGTAGTCGAGCTATATTTTCCTCGAATGTTAGTCGGTTGATCCACAGTATGAAAATCCGGGGAAGGGTCTTGATTACCCTTCGGACTAGTTGCTTCTCTTCCTTTTCCGTCCACTCGGCAAGTGGGTCATATCGATGTCTCCCTTCGTACTCCGGTATGGGCTCATAGAACTCCAGTGAGCCACCGCCAGCCAACACCCCACTTGTTCCATCGTAATTTTGGGTGGGGATTGACGTCTGTTGAACAATTGTGACAGCCGGCTGCTTCGAGTCAAGCGACGACACGGAGCTTTTGCCCGACATTGTTGATCTTAAGTGCGGTTGATAACTCCGATGATTTGGACTTGGGTCTTTTTATACAGGATAGACATTGTCACTCGTGCCCTACGCCGAGGATTGCGCAATGTTCTCAATCCGATGCTGGTTTGCGCTGCGAAGTGGTGCCGCGGAGAAAATGTAATGGAACTTTGTGCTTAAAAGGTGACATTTGGGCCTCTGATGATGAATTCAATGTCTAGTGTGTGCTCGATCTGCATGGGGAGAGCAAATCCGGTTAGATGGAGGGGCCCATGCAAGATAATTTTAGTGTTAAAAGATCGCTTGGGAAGTCTGCGCAACACGCGGAATGCCCAATAGATTTAGCTAGGGCCAAGCCTTCATTCAACAACATGTTGCCATTCGATGCGGGATCGCGTCACCACGTGAATGAAATAGTGACTTTTGCCCCCTGTTAGACACATTGTTTGCATATACAGCATAATGGAATTGAGTAATCATCTTTGTGATGTCGGGGTATCGGCTAATTTTACTCGGAAAAAGCGAGGAGCAAGAAGAATTTCACAAATCAACGATGCAATGTGTGGGTGTCTATGACAACCAATTAAACTTTTAGTAATAAGTGCAAAGACATACATTTGCTATGGTATACTGCTCTATATATTGTCCTAACATCATTTTCCAATTGAAAATCAACCGGCGGCTCATAGGCTGATTTGACGCCTATCCGAACGGCTGTGGAGGATGGTCGATCTTGACCGAAATCCGAAATCAAATTTCAACACGTGGTGCTAGATGTCAGAGTAAGACGCGGAAAGACTTGTCTAGACTGTCATCTAGTTGCAGAAAATCCACCAGTCTTCCCAAATGATCAATCCCCCAGAACCCTTCCTTTTCCCCTTGCGCGTTTACGCAATCAAACCAAGGCAACCCGAAGGCGCCGGAGGTGAAAACCTGTTGTGTATTTCCATCCAAAATGGCTTTCGCCTCACTACCTTTGAACTGTAAAACAAGATTAGAGAGGAAAAAAAAACCTGTCACGTAGACAAGATGAAACGTACCTGATCCAAAATTTGCTTAGCGTTCTCGGCGCCAAGCTCACTTTCAAAGACAGCAGCGAAACCGGACTCAGTGAGAACCTTTGAGTTTCCCTCTTCCCAGAACCCGCGATAGAGCCTATCCACGATAGGAACTAACTTATCGGGAAATTGTGTAGCTAGAAGGGAGAGAGCGAGCTGAACGTCCGAGGTGGGTGCAGGAAATCCCTCTGGGATAGCTTCGGACATGGGAACCTGAAAGCGACGAGCCCAGTAAATACGCTCTCGATTGATCCATTGGAACTTGTCTATAATGGGGAATTAGCATACTTCAAACGTAGAGTAGGTAATGGGAAGTGCTAGAAGAAAGAAGGAAAAGTGACATACTCTTGACCGCAAGAGGAGGTGTGTTTTGGCAGGTCTGAAATAGGTTTCGCAGGGAGACGGGGACATAGACAATATCACATGTCGCGAAGACAGGGGATGTCTATAGACAATCATTAGCCAATTTTTCATTGGTTCAATTCAATACTTTGGAATATTAGACTTACCCTCAACGCATGGAACGCGATGCAGGCGAAGGGACTGCCAATGTCGAAATAAAAGGTTATTTGAGGAGCAGGCATAATAAGAGTGGTATTATTTGACGATAGACTGGAAATGTACACAGATAGGAATGCTGGGATTGTGCTCTTTCTATAGTCCGTCGCGTTATTTTATGATTATTCATATTCAGGGTCCCGGGGTTGAGGTACAAATCTTTGAAGCTGTTCCCAACAAACCTTCGGATCTCAACACTAAACGTCGATTAAATTTAGGTTCGGGTGGATTTCCGGGGCCTCGGGCCCAACCTTTATATTTCCAAAGTTGGATGTCGTTCTCGTTGGGAAGGGGTATTTTGGCCACTGGGGAACAATCAATAATCAGGTTAACCCCCCGAATGAAAATGTCTCGCGGATAACGATTACAGTAATACAAAGAAGTAAATCATCTTGTTGATTGCGTGGTATTAAATATATTGGCTGAGCATGCGTTATACCTGTGAAGAGAACTATTTACTACCGCTGGAAATCATAAAGCATGTCATGTACTCAGAATGTACCGTCACTTGGTACTATTCTCCGCGGTTTCATATTTACTCAGAGCTCTCAGTCTCTTTCCACTCTTGAAAAGGACCCACGGAACTGGCAAAAGTGCCACTGCAATAAACCCAAGCAAGCTAGACGCCCACCCTGCACCGAGCCTGGTGTACACTGTAAGACACGTAAGCATATATTTTCAGTCGACTGTCATCCAAACAGGTAGATACTCACTTTGGACGGTAAACAGAGGGAAAGCAGCTGCGAGTCCATAGCGTGCCAAACCATTGGCGCTCATTGCACTTGCGACAGTGAGGCCATGATAAGTATCCACAATGTACTGCGTTGTGCTCACAAAGACACATAGATTTCCCCATGCAAAAACGACGATTGCAACGACTGGACTCGCCCAGGAGATGTCAGCTCTGGTAGTCCATGCAAACCAGAACAATGCGATCGGTAGTCCAACACTACCTATTAGCGCCGGGTAGAGGCGATATTCGGGTGGGACTTGCCCGTCTGGATGCTTTGAGACTTTTGGAAGGTAAAGGAAAATGTTGCATAATATGACAGTGACAGTTCCTAGTATGCTTCCGATGACAATAGCCAAGAAGACAAGGCCGGAGTCCTCGATGTTGAAATGATAAATACCTTGAAAGATCAATGGAAAGGCTGCGAAGAACGAGAAGAGTGTTGCGAATTCGCAAGCAATGTAAAGGCAAATAAACCCAACGATGGGTTCGGTTAGAAGCATGTGGATAGGGCGGAGGAGAGAAATTGTTACAAATAGGCGTAGCTTCGAAGAGAGAGGGGGGATGGGGGAAGCTCTAATCCGAGTTCCTTGGCACGATGACGCTTGATGATAGGGTGAAAGGTCTCTTTGGTAATTGCAACTGTGATGCCCGTGAAGATGGCGAAGAAGATCGTTGCCCACTGTGTCCAACGCCAGCCTTTCCGATTGACTATAAAACTTCCAATGACAGGCCTAGGAAATAGTCAGCAAGATGGAGAACTTGAAAATAACGTTGATTCAAGGAGTATTGACCCTAGACCAGGACCCAAAAAGGGTGTGAGAATGAAGATAGCCGAGGGAAGAGCGCGATGAACTGGCTTGAAGGTCTCATTGAGAGTTCCAGCCGCAATCGCTAGTGTTGGTGCGTAGCATAAACCAGCCAAGAAACGTAAAACACAAACCCCAGCAAAGGTGGGACAAAATCCAACACCTAGAGTAAATAAAGTGCCTAGACCTATCGCTCCTATGTAGACTGGGTATCTCCCCACAGTTTCAGAGAGAGGCCCGCCAACGATAGGACCAAGGGCTAGAGCGAAAACGTAGAGCGACAAGGGTAATATAGCAACGGTGCTGCTAACATCGAATTCTTCCATGAGCTGCGAGTGGGCAGGTGATAGTATAGAGACTCCAACGGTCCTAGATTAGATGTCAGATTTCAAGTCATCTTCACGTTGCGTGGAACTATGGAAGGAATAACCAACGTTGTAAATGCCGACCAACCAATCATCACTACTTGGAGGACTTTTTGGCTTGTTGGCCAGTTGTAAGGATTGCTCGGATCATCATCCCAATTCCATGTTTCATTGGGATTGGGTTTCTCTGCAGTTGTGTCGAGTGCATTTTCAAGCGTATCTTCGGATGACGATTGTAAAACCTCCACGGTGCCGTTGATATCGACTCCAAGGCCGTCCTCTAGTTGCACCATGTTGAAAATACCTTGGAAATGTAAGTAGAAAAGCTCGGAGGGGTCCGCATGGTGACAACGCTCTCTTATGGAGAATGGAATATAACGATAGGGTAATCGGGAATTTGTGAGTATCGCAAGATCAGAGATTATTACTACTTAACCCTTCTACATACCCGGAGCCGAGGTTATATAGTTTCTAGTATCTGCAACGCTGCGTTCATTGCCCAAAGGGAGCACTCAGAAGGCCCTTTGAGATGGGCAAAGCGGGGCTTCCAGGAATACGAGCATCTGATTGGTCGGGCAGGAGGAACTTTTTGATTATTCAACATTGGATTATTCAACCTGCAAACTACCTGTGCACTTTTGAGAACTGGTAAACTTGGATTGGGTGAAATGGTCACTGGTTTGTTGAGATTTACATTTGGCTTGTTGAGTCATTCAATTGTGGTTGAATAGAAACTGGGAATCTGTGGCAGCGCCCAGCGGATCAGTTGACATCCATTTCGGTCTCACCTTTGCCATGCACCATGCATATACACATGAACTTGGCACTTGTTCCATTCCACCAAAGGAGCCTCAGGCTTAGGCATGCCTTTCTTACCACTTCCAAAGAAGAAGAAAAAAACGAATCGATATAGTGCTCGATATGGTGCTCATTAGCACCGGGCAGTACCACCCGCCCGTGGGCTTTCGACGACCCCCCATAATTCAGTGATCACCTCTATCCCGCTCTCCGTCCGAACCACCACTCACTCGTACCAGTAGAGCGAAACATTCATATCGGTTATAGAGCCAGATGCAGAAGGGAAGCCACTCGCACAGAAAGTAATCACCGAGAGAGGATGCGACTGCGCGAGACCGAAGAAATGTGGCATCGATGTCTGATGTTGTCTGAAAATCAGATGATTAATTCATATGCTGGGGTTAGTAAGATGATTGACGGGTAGAATGGATTAGCCTCGATATATTGACTGGGTACACTTGAATTTGGTTTTACTCATTTTTCTGGAATGTTCGTTGAAGACAAATACGACGCTGGCTTAGAATGTGCAGAGCAGGTCTCAACATCGGGCTGAAGGTCGGATATAACAAGCGATCTGCAGAGAAGCTGAACCACCATCATGTGCTTGCCAGCAGCCGCTTATCCGGTCTGATAGAATCATTGATACGACTCTTCACAGATTTCGAGTTGACAACGGCAAGTGGGCAATCTCGGGTACCCCCTTATCTCAACATCCACCTTGGCGATTCGGGAAATCCCCGGGGTTCCTTCATACGAGCTTATGTTATGCTGAGCAACAAAAAGGACCTACCTAGGTAGACTTTCTGGACAGATACCTAACGTGCCAATCTCGTTTTGACACGGACAGAATGGTCATAACTGACAGAAATAGACGGATACGACAATGTATGGTAAATCTGACATATGTAAATTCTCTAACTAACTAAAATGACAAGATCCGCTCTTTTCCAATCTCGGCGGACATAGCTGATTAAGCAATGTATGTATTTTTGTATGGTACCGTTATCATGACGGTCCATTGATTTCCCGGTTTGTAAAGACCTGGTAATTTCAGCATGCATAAATGCATAGTACTTGACACACCCCCCAGTTCTTGAAGCTATTCAAAGCTCTCAAGGACTGCCTTTCTTCCAACTGTTTCGCAGCTGCTTCGCAACCGCTTCGCAAATGATTCGCAAGTGATTCCAACTTACCTCACCTGTCTCCTCACTGATCTCGGCTCAAATCGTCGATTTATGCAGTTTCCGCAAAACAGCCTCTGTTCTCAGAGGTCATGTGACGAATCATGTGACCTACGTCCCTCATTCCAACCAACTCTCTGAAGTGTCCCTGCTTCTGCTTCGTCAGAGCTTTGGTGAGCCCATCTGCTGGCATCGCAGCAGTTGGTACCCAGTCCACATATACTCGACCTGCGCTAACTTCTTGCTTCATCCAGCATCGATTGATGTCAACATGCCGGAGCTTCGTATGCATCGCGGCCCCTTCCTTCGTCAATAAATCGACAGTTTGCTGGTTGTCACACATGATGGATAGTGGGTGATCTGGTTCGAAGCCTAGTGCATTAAGCACTCGTCGCCACCACTGTACGGTTTTTCCTGCCTCTGCTAAAGCTAGTAGTTCGGCCTCGGTAGTCGATGTGGTGACAGTCTTCTGCTTAGTGGCCTTCCAATCGATTGGGCCACCATATAACTTGCAGATATACCCTTCGGAGCTCTTTCGATCTTTATGGTCTCCGAACGACGCATCGCTTGCAAATTCAACTGATTTCGCCGCCATCGTCAGGGTCGTATCTCGATTTCTAGGTTGTTTGTTTGGTGTTCTGATGCCGTATTCAATGGCCCAAAAGCGTGTCTCATAGAGATACTGTATGATGCGATCGACTGCATCTATATGCTTTGGTCCTGGATTTGTAAGGAATTCAGCCACTTTGGAGGTTGCTTTTGCAGCATCTACCCGGGTAATGGTGGTGGCATACTGCGCAGATCCAACCTTGGCCTGGAAACCATGAATCTGTTGCGGTGATGCCACCCCATCATAGGGTACTAGAGGCTCAATGCTCAGTGGGGACCCTATTTTTCTCTCTGTGACGAGATTGTATTTGTGTGCCATGCTCTCGATGTAGCTATCTTGGCATAACCAGAGCTTCTTCTGCTCTCTATCACGTATAATACGTATATTCAAGAACCAGCTTGCATCCAGTTCTCGAAGCTCCCATTGCTTCTTTAGATTTTGATCTAGTAAAGCGGCTTCTTTAGCCTGTTTGGGGTGATTGACGATGATGATATCGTCCACGTAGAAAAAGACAATAATGCCTTTGGTTGTAAAGATGCATGGATCTTCTTCCACTGGGGTAAGGCCTAGTTTTACTAGCACCTTTGTAGCTTCTTGCTGCCAAAGCCTTGGTGACATGCGCAATCCGTAGAGGGCTCTATGCAGGAGCCAGCACTGATTTAGTGCTTCGAAGCCTGGTGGACACTTGGTATAAACCTCGCTTTCTAGCATTGAATTCAGGAATGCGGTAACCACATCTCTCTGAATCATATCTAGATCAAAGGCGGCAACTAGTGCGAATACTGCTCTCGCTGTTTTGACAGCTAGTGTAGCAGCTCTCTTTTCTTCAGTTGACATCCACTGTAGATCTCCTCTCACGCAGATTCTTGCTTTGAACTTCTCGAGCATACCATCTGCATCAAATTTGTATGTAAATACCCACTTCAATGGCAAGATCTGGGTGCTCTTTTTGTTCGGTAATGCAACCTGAGAGAAGGTCTCTTTAGCCTTTAAGGTCTCAATTTCAAACTCCGCAGCTGCCTTCAATTGCGTGGCAAAGGGATGGATTTTTAGCCGCTTCCAGTTCTCTGGTGGTGGAGGCATCTGATCTCTATGCAGTCTGTTTTGCATATTGAGCTTCTTCGTAATACCTGTTGTAAAGGCATATAGAAGGCTTGGTGGCTCGGCTAGCTGTTTCTCGTCTAGCGATAGATATGCAGTGTAGTCTGGATCTGCCTTTGGCTTCCGTATTCTGGGGCCTGAGATGATGTTAGATTCATCAATTGACGCAGAGATCTCTCTAGTAGGCCGATCTTCTGGCTCTGGAGTAGGCGTATACTGCATCTCTTGTTGCAATTGACGCTCTATCTCTGCTTCATCTTCATCATATTGATCTCCCTCTCCCCCTTCAGCTTCGATCGACTGTATGACATTGATCGGATCTGGCGAAGATAGCGAGGTAGGAGATCTCTCATGTGGCGTACTCTCAATCGTAGCAATCGACGATAGTGCTCTTTGTGGTGAGGCTCTCTGTGGTGACATAGGGAAGCTCCCAGGGATCTGTTCTTGATCCCTTACCTCTATCATTGAGATATGTTCTACCACTGAAGCAGGGCCTGCCATTGAAGCCGGTGTTAAAGGTAAAACAGGTGTTTCCTTTAAAGGGGGGACCCTTGGTGTCTCCTCCCTACTATCTAGAGTTTGAGCTTGCTCCACAACTCTAGATTCCTGGATTTCTTCATTTACCGCCTCTGGTGCAGTACCTTGTTCTCGGTTTTCGACGTCATCATTGAGAGTTATGCGAGCAATTGACATCGGCATACGCATCTCTATGCTCAATTCTGACTGCGCTTCTTCCATTGAGAGCACTTGGGGCCAGTTCTTAGCGCTTAGTCCATTTGTCATAGTACTAATTGCATCTTCTTCTTGCGGTAAAGGCTTCGTTTTAGAGTACTGTCTCGATTCATCGAATACAGCATCTCTTACAACTTCAACTCTGCCTATGCCTGCTCGCCCTTTGTATGGAAACCAGATCTTGTATAGGCTCTTTGAAACATAGCCTACAAGATAGCCGATCTCTGCTCTCGGAGCCATCTTGTTAGATTGTACTCTCTTCAGAAGCCTTGAGTACGTTAAGCACCCATATAGCCTCATATTCGACAGGTTGACAATTTGATCTTTTAAGCCATCTGGAGCCGCATAGCGCATCAATTCCTTCCATGGTATGATCCACTTACCATCCATCTTTGTAGGGGTACGATTCATCATATATGCAGATGCATACATCGTCTCTGGCCATAGATTGTGGGGTAGGTTCGTACCATTGAGCAATGCTCTGCCGTTCCTTACTATCATGCCTCCAGATCTCTCTGCTGGTCCATTCATCTCTGGCAAGCCAGGTGGTGCATGCTCAATGGTACACCCTTCGTCTTCAATCATAGATTCAACCTCATTGCCGGCGCTTCTCTCATTATCATAATGAAATACCCTGATCTCGATTTTCAACCAGTTTCGGATCAATGCTAAGAATTTACGAACTGCCATCTGACACTCGCTCTTCTTTATATGGGTAAATACGAAGTGACACCTTATTCCATCGAGATAGAAGTGCGTCATCCATATATGACCGTTGTAGGCAGGCTGGTTTTGTACTAGATCGAAGTGTACTCTCCCTAATATACCATATGCCTGGCCTATCTTCCGGCGAGAGATTTGCCTAGGTGCATCTGCCAATTGACAAGCTTCACATACCTGCATTTCTTTGCCTGGGTTGCTTGCAATAGTGATTCCTTCAGTCATCTCTGCCAGTTTGACAATTCGCGCCTTGCCAATGTGGCCTAATCGACGATGCCAGAGCTCAATTGAAGCCTCAGATTTTGGCTCCTGATTGGATTTCTTAGTGGCAAACGTCATTTCAGGCTTCAAATCTGATGCCTTTTGGGTTATAAAACCCCTTGTCTGGGTGAGCCATGATAGCTTCTGATCGTGGTAGATCTTATAGATCTGACGATGGCCATCAATTGTCTCAATGCAGTTTGCTCTGAGATTCATTAATAGGCCCCCCTTCATCATCAATCCATGAGATATCAGATTACTATGGAAGTTTGGCGAGTACCTAGTTTGAAATAGGTTCATCTTAACGGCGCTTCCAGTGGTAGGGTTTACACCATAGATGACCACAGTGCCTATACCGGCCACCTTCGTCTCTGTATCTCCCACTTTGACGTTGCTCTGTACGCTTTTAAAGGTGCTAAACAAGCTCCGATTGTTGCATACGTGGATTTGAGCACCTGTATCAACTACCCATCTGTCTTCTGTAGGTGTAGTTGTGGCTTCAAAATCCTTGATTTTTGTTGACATAACGGTGTCAATTTTGACTGCGTTGGTTGTCAAGAAGCCAAAGGCTTCATCGTCGAGGGTTGTATTCGCTTGCTCTTTAGCAAGGGTCCCCCTTGGCCTTCTGCATATGCAGCTCGCTTCTTGTCGACAATTGCCTTCCATCTAGGATTAGCCTTCATGGCCTTCTCCCACTTCTGTTTCAATGCCGGTGAGGGCTGGTAATTAGCAGGCCTTCTATCTTCATAGATTTCCCAGCAGGCCCAAGGCATATGAACTCTCGATTTTACCCTGTCACATGGACATGGCCTTCTTTCTAGGCCATCATTCCTTGCCTCTATAGGCTTTGCTTCTTCATTGCCTTGCCATGTCGAGAAAGCAGCCTTTGAGATGCCTCTTTGCGCAGCCGGCCTGCCATGGGTAATCTTCCAGTGGGCTTTGTACCGAGTCATGATTTCGAAGAAAGGGATGTCCTGATTATCCTGTACTCTGAGAGCCCATGTTTCATAGAATCCAGGCGACATTATAGAGATTGCTTCAAGGAATTGATTCGTGGCATCCTCTGCTTCTGGCATCCTTGCCTTCTTACACGATTGGTAAAGCGATTCCCAGTTTAGAAGCCATTTCTCGATATCGGTGTTCCGATCTAGGCCTCTATCTAGGTTCCGCCACTGTTGACGGAGCTTAGTTTTGTATGTAGGATCGCTCTCTGGTGCAAATCGTTTGTGGAGATTGAGCATCAGCTCCAAAGGTGATGGTATATCAATGATAAAGGGCTGGTAGGGAGTATCAACTGACTGCCTAATTGCCACCGCCACTAGATCTAATGCCTGTAGTTTCGACTGATAGGCTCTGTTCTCTGCATCCCAATCTGCTTTTAGGGATAGCCTCACATTGAACCAGTGTTCTGGGTATTCTTTTATGGCATCTTTGACAGAGATGATCTCTTCAGGTGGTTCCAATTTAGGACGTTCTTCCTCCTTAAGAGACGGATTGCATTGATCCCATACTTTATATGCAACTGCAATTGCTTTAATATATGAGAGCCATGCATCCCATGATTCTGTATCCTTCAAAATGACGCGGGAGGAGGCCGCGGAGAGGCTTGACATAATATTCATTATTGTCGATTTTCGTCGATGAATCTGATCTTCTTCGAAGGAGATAGGGGTGCTTCGACGATTCAGGGGTTGACCGTTGTCAAAACCACTGTGAATCGGCGACAGCTAGGTAAAAGATGGTCTATATGTTGTAGACAGATCTTAATTGGAACGAAGCCGGGCTCATAACTGACAGAAATAGACGGATACGACAATGTATGGTAAATCTGACATATGTAAATTCTCTAACTAACTAAAATGACAAGATCCGCTCTTTTCCAATCTCGGCGGACATAGCTGATTAAGCAATGTATGTATTTTTGTATGGTACCGTTATCATGACGGTCCATTGATTTCCCGGTTTGTAAAGACCTGGTAATTTCAGCATGCATAAATGCATAGTACTTGACAATAACCAAAAGAGGAACATAAGGGACAAAAGGCCTGATTAATCAGGCGTCAACCCTCCCGTTTGTCATCGATGACCTATGCATCTCTAATCGGGCGCGTAGCCGTATATCCGGAAACACTTCGGTTTTCGGGGCTTGTAATTTTCCCATCGGCCTTCGGTCTTGTATGCTGATTTATTAACTAATCATTTTTTTACCTGAAAGATCAAAAAGTTAATCGCACATTTCTTCTATATATTGTGCGAAATTCACTTATTTTCGAGCTGTCACAGAGCTATCGCTCCAGCGGATTACATGCAGTTCTACCCCAAAGCGCGAGAGCAGCGGCCTAGCATCCACCACCCAGCTGTTAGGCCGCTTCGACTTGGTCTTCTAAAGGCAGCTACTGTCAATCTTCTGCTCCTCCAATTTCTATTTTTGGGTCTATTCTGTTACATCTTTGGCGCTCTCTTCCAGCAGTCTGGACACGTCCACAACATCAATATTTTGTTTGTGGATTACGATGGCGGCGCGATAGGCGATGCGGCCCGTGTCGCATTCCAAAAGCTCAAAGGACCCAGTTTTCCAACGTTTGTTGAGCGGTCTGCCTCCGTGTACCCCCAGCCTGGCTCAATTGAAGGTGCAGTGTGCGACATTGAATACTGGGGAGCCTTGTACACCACAGCAAATGCGTCAAACTCATTGAGCGCCGCGTTTGCGGGTGGGTCAGCTGCCTCTTCGTACGACAAGACCAATGTTCTCACCATGGTGTGGAACGAAGTGCGCTACCCGACAGTCGTTGACTCAGCCGTTGCACAAAGCATCAAATTGCTCTCGGAAACGGCGCGGGTTGCGTACTCGCAGGCTAACGCGAAAGACGCTCTACAGAGTGTCAACAGCTCTGATCCCGCTGCGCTTGCAGCATTTTATGACCCTTGGACATTGGCCGACCACAATATTCTAGTCACATCACAAGGATCAAGGGCAATTTACAATACGCTAGTTATCATTTTGATCCTCATCCAGGAATTCTTCTATTTGGGGACTGTCAATGGGTTGTACGCTCAATTCAAACTCTACACAACGGTATCACCCCATCGCATCGTTATCGCGCGCCAAATCATCTCTTTAATCTACACACTCGCCGGCTCCATGTGTACAGCCGGTGCAATTTGGGCATTCCGAAGTGGCTGGGATGTCAACGGAAACCAGTTTGCCCTCACTTGGCTGGCATTGTGGCTCTTCGCACATCTGAACTTCCTCGTGCTAGATGTCTTCACCATCTGGATTCCACCTCCCTACATACCAATGGCACTGATATCATGGGTCATATTGAATGTCACTTCCATTATTCTCCCATTCGAACTGTCCCCTGCTTTCTTCAAAGTGGGCTTCGCCTTACCAGCACATTCTATCTTCCAGGTACTCATCGACATCTGGTCTTCTGGCTGCAACCCCCAACTCTATTTCGCGCTACCTGTTCTTTTTGTCTACGAAGTTCTGGGTGTCGTCTTGAGCTCGATCGGTGTTTATAGAAGGGCTCATTACGCGTGCATCAAACAAGAAATGGACGAAAAAGCTTCTGAAGAGCGAGTAACCGCCATACTCCGCGAGCAGCAAGAGGCTCAGCTGGCCAGGCGGGAAACGATGCATGATGTCGAAGGAAGTGAAACATCGGACAGCGAGGATGAGCCAAGGGGTATGCAAAGACGTGGCACAGGAACGGCAGCAGATCAAGCGGATTTGGTCAACATTATCAGTCGTGAGATGTCCCGGTCGAAGGTCGACAGACCAGAGACAGGCCGAGATAGCACTGGGCCGTCTTTTGCCTTGGCCTACAAATATTGAACGACCTCCGGAGTTTCCCCCGATGGCAAAAAGCAATCTTCGCACTTTAATAGTATCTAGAAACTACGTAATTTATGAGAATTCGGTATACATTTTTATCTTGTAATCATAATTGAATAATATATTCCAAGAAATATTGATTCAACTAAGAATTGCTACAGGGACGAGGACTCGCTCGAGAATCATTAACATAGATAATACATAATCATTTACCTAACGCTTCCTTCCCCCCGTATGGTTCCTCAGCAAAATCAGCTACCGGAGTAGCCCAGCTCGGCCCAAGGAGCAGGCGTGCGATATAGGCATCATCGCTTGGATCTATCTCACTTTCCTTGTCACTGGGATCAACCTTCCTACACGGCTCCTCGGGAACATCAACTATCTCTCTAGCCCATTTCGAGCCAAGCAGCAACCATGCGATATAGTTATCATCGCTGGGATCCATCTCGCCTTCGTCGTCACTACATTCTGCATCAGCATCCTGGCTAACCTTCTCATCTGGTTTCTCGACAACAGCAACAGAACGGGGAAATAAGGAAGATTCTGTAATCATTCGCTCGAGAGCATCCGCAACTATAAAGTCACTGTTCATGTGACTCTTGAGCAGACCAATTTGGCCGGGCAAAGCCTTCTGAAGGGTATCGCAAAACTGCGTAAAATGATCATCCTTCCCGAACTGTGCACATATACGTGCTAGACGGGAAATTGCGTTCAGTCTTGCAATTACCAGCGAGCGGTTCTCTGGGTTGAATCGGAGATCCCAAATTCCTCGGTTGAGAGTTGTGAGTATGCGCTCGTGTTGCTTAGCGTCGTTGAGTGGCGACATTGTCTATAGATTAGCGTCCTAAAAGATGTTAGTATATGTAGTGGTTAGACAGTACTTACCTAGGGATGGTAGGGAGATTCCAAGATGAGAGCGTTAATCAGAGACGGGGTGATCGCTGCTGATAAAGTCCAAATGATGTGGGAATAGGGGCTATTTGATATTTCCTGGTTCTTCTGTTAGTTGGAAAACGGATCATCAGGAAATAAAGGCCATTGTTGGAGATAGACAAAGGGCATAACGATACAATACCATTGTTGGCGGGTTCGGTCATGAGAGAAAAGTCTAATTCTTCCTACATGAAACAAAACTAGCCGCCAAAGCTTGCTCGAGCTAGAGTGAAAGTATGGAGATTTAAGCCTCTGACTAGAGGACGCGCACTTTCAGAGCGGTGGCGGCAGGAAAAATGGAGTTGGTCGCGAGGGCTAGTATTTGGGCCAGAGCAGCCATGATAGCTCTCGAGATATAAAGTTGTGAGAAGTGGATGAATACCAGATCGAATTGATTTTGGAAGATTTAATTTGTTATGGTAAAATAGATTGCCACAGTGGTGCGGCAGACTATTCATAACGCGCTAGCAAGTCCTCCCTCGCATCCTTTGGCATACCTTTTGATACATGCGAATGGCTTGCAGTGGACGAATGAAGTCAACGGAACACTTTGGATGAAACATACGCTTGCAGAGGGAGCACATGACTTGACAGATGAAGTAGTGGAATGACCTGTTTTCGATCTGCCACAGCCAGACCACGAAGTAAAACATAGTTTTCAATAATCGCACGCTCTGTGCTGGGGTCCTTGCGAGGATGTAAATCTCAAGAACATGTACTTGGCATAGGTTGTCGGTGTCAGTAGGTAAACAGATTCAGGACATTCTCTCAGTCAGAGAGCTTGATCTGCCCACAAAGGACGACATCTTCCCCAAATGGGTACCATTTGACATTCTTCAATCTCGCTGCGGAGATCGCATTTCCGCCCTCGTCAAAGCGCCTAGCAGGGGAGACCACGACACCACCTTCACCAAGCCATGTCGGGGCAATAGTAACAATCACACTGTCAAGCAAGGACATGTAAGAGGGACTCAAAAGGGACTTGATGACCTGGCCACCACCCTCAATCATGACGCTTTCAAGACCGTTAGATTTCAGGGTGACGAGGAGATCAGGCCAGTCAATCTGATGTCTGCCGGTATGCGTTCTAATCATTTTGGCTGAGATAAATCTTCCGCCGTACCTTTCTAGCAAGGCTTGCTTTTCGGAATTTGGGTTCTCAACTGCTGTGATAATCCATGGGGCAAGGCCACGCCCCTCTCTGCAAAGTTGGAATAGCTTGCTGTCGTGCGAAAACTCCCACCTGGCTGTGGGATCTATCACAACTGGTCTAGGCTGGCCAGCCAGGCCTTCCTGGCCATAGCCCCCAACTCCTGTGATTCGACAGTTCAGACCGGGATCGTCTGCCACTGCCGTACCGACACCAATGACAATCCCGTCATGGCGGGATCGTAGATAGTGAGTCATTGCCTTAGACTGGGGACCTGAAAGAACTGTACGTGCACCAGGTGACAGAGCTAGAGAAGAATCAAGCGAGGTGGCGAATGTGAGTGTTGTGAAGGGGAGACCAGATTGAGGTGCCGAGCCATCCTGGGGCGGTAGATGGGGCTCTAAGAAGCCCCTATCTGACTCTGGAAACTCCAGTGCATCTCTGGGTGCTGAGCTCATCTGGATTGTTGGGGTGGTTCAAATGGTTTACTCAATAGTCGCTGTTGGAGATACGAAGGTCTGAAGCTTGACCTGACTGGTGATCCACTTGAAACATCCATGGATGTGATTTTAGCATTGGTCAGGTCAGCTCGCCCGCTTATCAGTGATTACTAATGGTATTGAAATTACATGCCATAAATTACATACGTATAAAATGCAACAACATTTCCGAGGTTATTCTCACCCTGCTTAATAAATTAATTTGTGTTAATCCTTTATTGATATAAGTAATAATACGATATTACCGCTATATATGAATTACTATTTGGTCTGAAGTTGCCCGAGTAGGCGTCAAATGACCCCAAAAATGGCGTCGCCAGCCCGTGGGAGTCATGCCACGGCCGGAGCGGCGAGTCGCCCACGCACCCACTCTAACACGCTTCAGGCGTCTCGTTCAAGTCCAGCACAGCTTATCTCACCCGGGCCACACCCTCCGAACTATTGACTGCACATAAGCCTAGCAATCCCTCTCCTATAAAACTATGTTGTCCGAAAAGAACCTCTACCAGGTGATCATCCATTTCAAATTGTTTTATTCAGAATGTGGGCAAAGCCGGGGGGCATCAGTAGCTAGTTGAGTGGGCAATGTCCTTCGCTTGCAGCAAGTTGTCTTGCAGCTTGTCAATTTTAGTCTGGAAGCGTGCATAGCAATCCGAGCCAAGCGGCAGGCGAAACAGGTCTCCTTTCCCAGCACCCATACCAGTATCGTCTATGACTTCTAGAACCCTCTGGGCACATTTGACAGCATCGCCAGGTGCGGCTTTGTTTGACTTGAATACCTGGAGAACGTGTTCCAAGGGGGTCCCGGTATAGCCTTTGTTCATGCCAGCGGTAGGCTCGACAAACGCTGACCAAAAGTTGGTTCGGAGTGACCCCGGCTCGACGACGAGCACTCGGATATTGAACGGTGCTAGCTCTTTTGCGAGACTTTCGGACATACCTGCTCATTTTGTGTAAGCAAGTTATTTCCCTAAATAGATGCCTATCTCGGGATAAGGAGGTTTTGTAAAGCAACGTAAACTAACCTTCAAGAGCAAACTTCGATCCGGCGTACATCGCGCAGGCGGGTAGTGCATCAATCCCGGCACTGCTACTGACATTAATAACCGTGCCGGACTTCCTCTCCCGCATGAAAGGAAGGACACCCTTCAACACACGAACAGGACCGTAAACATTCGTGTTAAATTGAGCCTCGATTTCGGCCTCGCTCATATCTTCGATGCTGCCCAGTAACGAATACCCGGCATTATTAACGACAACATCAATAACACCGCCAGACTTATTAATTGCATCTTCCACGGCTTTGGTGGTGCTAGAGCTTGTCACATCAAGCTCAATCCAGATTCCACCGAGTTTTGAGATCTGGGGGTTGGCTTCAGCTGCTTTGGTGGGGTTGCGAGCGGTGGCGATCACTGTATGACCGGCTTGGAGGGCAGCCTCTGCGATTGCGGCTCCAAGACCAGAAGATGCACCAGTGACAAGCCAGGTTTTGAATGCCATCTTGAAGTCTAGTGAATTCTATGGGAGTGGGGTTGCAGTGTGGGGGGGATTTGGCACGGCACCGAACGCTTGTGTTATTCACATCAAATATAAAGAGTGTTGCTCAAATTTAAGGCTAAATGGGAAACATGTTATCCCTGCTATTTCGGAGGTAAACGGAGCGGAGTTTGACTACTAATGCCGCTAAATCCGGCACTATTTTAACAAGAAACTAGCTAGAAGAAGCATGGATGTTATCTAGAAGGATGCGTCATCTATAATGTACGTCCTCAATCTACTTTCTCTTCATATTCCACGGATTTGGAATAAAAGGAAACAGGGGGTGTATCATGTTGAGTTTGCTTACACTATGAAGCTGATACTACTCGATAGACTGTTGTACGACCGGCTCAACATTCAAGATTCATATGGCCAATTGGTGCCCCCAGAGCTCATGGAGACGTGGTACCGCTGCCTGCTAGTTCACTGGATCTACCACACTAACATTAGTTTGGTCAGCTCCCAGGTTTGGTACTTCATTTGTGAATATCTAGAAGTGAGAGAGGGGGCGGGGGGTAAGTTCTAAGGAAGACAAACAGGCCCTATCCACCCGGTATAGCCCAGGGCCGCATGCCACAACAAAATCTTCAGTCGATGTCCTACAATAACTGTCTACTAAAATCGTTCTGGATCCATTGCTCTACCAAAGCCACCGTATCGCCAAGAAGGTAGTCATAGTGTGCTCCAGTGGGGGAAAACATTGACTGGTGCGCTTCTATTTCATTCATGTCTTCCATCGTCACCGGTACCCAGTTAGAGTCATTGTCATCTTTCCAATGAGCCGACGGCAAGAGAATAAATCTGCGAAGATTATTGGCCTGGGGAGTATCGGAATTATGACTGAAGTCCGATGTTGAGGGGGGAATCGCGTTCCAAGAAGGCTTGGTCCCCCGTCCAGCTCCTTGAAGTAGAAGATGCGATGCTCGGAGTATGCGTCGACCATTTGCTCTTTTTGGTCGTCTCTTCTGCAGTTGGGGTAGAGTTAGAGATAGAGAACTTGAAATTTGTGTTTCCCTTGGGATGTGAAAAGCACCTTTGAGTTCCCGGCAGCCGGTGCTGGATGTGTAGTAGTTGATGAAGCGTAATCTCTCGGGGCTGTGCTCTGCCTTTTCCAAATCTTTCAGCCGCTTATATCGCTGCCGCAGTTCAGAGTGATTCCGGACACCACTAGCAAATTTCATGGGGGCGGCAAAAGCGCTAATTCGGGATTTTAGACTATGCTTGTCGGCTCTCCTCTTCTCCTTAGCTATCTTCTTCTGGGAGCAATTCTTGGTGCCTTTGATCAAGCTGCGATGGGGAAGATCCGTACCGTCCCTCCATTGAACATTGGATTCAGGATAGAGATGATCTGAAGGATTGAAGTTGGGATCATTGTAGACTGCTTCAAACTCAAGGGCCTTTTGTTGATCCGCCAATTTCTCTTCTGGCGTTTCGTCGTTCTTTTGAAACAAAGTTGCCAGTCCAGTAGAAAAGACCCCAGGATCTAGCCCCAAAAAGGGGGTGTCAAAATTAACTAGTCCCAAGATTTTATGCTTTGGCTTTGCGCCGTCATGCCAAAGTGCGATATCGGAAGCTATGAGCCCGCCCATACTGTGCCCAAGCAGAATCACATCTTGGTCATCTGCCTCATGGGGGGTCAACCTACAAATATCGGCATACATCAGCGCTCATGATTCATCTAATTGCTCTAGAAGGAACACTATCAGCACTTTGTCCTGTTCACATACCATTTGCTGAATTGGTTCACTGCTGCTTGGAAATCGCCTTCAGACTTGTAACGAGGATATATACGTGTGTGGACCACATGCGAGTCAGTCAGCAAACCTGTCAACGCGCCATGGACCTGCAAAGGGAGATCTTGGAATGTGGTTTCTGTGCCATTGAAGCCATGGATATAAATCAATAATAGCCTTCGCTTGAAATTCTGAGGTATGCCCGCCCCAGACATAGACAGACTGGAGGAGGGGCGGACCGCGCCTTCGTAGATCGCGGACTCCATGGTGTTGATAATCCGAGAGAGAAAGCTTGGTATGATATTGAAAATGTATTGGGGCATAGACGAGAGAACCCCCATAGGTCGGCCCCCACCCGTAATTGGGGCCAAAAAGAAAAGTAAACAATCAAGGCCCGCTATGATATGGTATCCACCAACCCAGCCTTCGGCTTACGTGGACTCTAACCTAGCTCAAAGTAAAAAACAAGACAATCGGCGAGAAAGTGGTCTTGAACCATAGCTATCGAAATGAAAACTCAACTGCGTCTGTGAGATCAAGTTGATATTGCTGCCTGAGGCCTTTAATACACCGACCCCACCCAACAGCATCGCCGACCCACGATTGGACAAAGACCAAGATAGCAGGTCAGCCAGCAGGGGATCCTTGTGATGCAGCTGAAATCCTGCAAGGCGGGGGGCTTTTACGCGACCCCCTTGACGTCCACAATTCCTCCTTTTCCGCAGCATTCAGCAATTTATCTGAATTCACACACCAATTATGTCAGATCCACCTACCCTTTCGCCTTGGAGCCAATCAACCTTGGTGATACGCGATCGGCAGAAGAAAAAGAGGGTTAGTACATCGAAGGTCCGAACGGGGTGTGTGACCTGCAAGTAAGTACATGCTCCGCACAACGCCCAAAATCTAGTGTCAGGTGAACTCTTAGTGGACGAGGAGATCGGCACCGCGTAAACACAACGCAGTGATCTACCCGGCCCTACGATCTCACCTGAGTAATAAGGCCGGAGCTAACACCCGTTTAAAGATCGCGTCACAAGAAATGTGATGAAACGCGACCCGCTTGCCTTATGTGCACTCGTGGTGGACGTGTATGCCAAGGATATACGGCGCCACCCGATAAGAGAACGCGTGAAGTGCGAGACGCACGCACCACAAAGAAAAATTGTGGTGCTCTAAGTATTGTACATGTTGGTCAGCAACAAGCCCAATCCGCGGGTTTGGTCTATGTGCGTGATGGGAGCCAAGTTGGGTTGTCGCGGATGGAACGTGATTATTTGTTTTCATTTCGTTCGTATACTGCTGGCCAGTGTGCTGGATATCACTCCGACCCATTCTGGCAGGTCCTTGTCCATCAAGTCAGTGAATCTTGCCCCGAGGTCCGCCATGCTGTTATTGGCATCGGTGCCTTGCACCGTAGATTTTCGAACCCTGATTCCAACCGGAATGACATTTTCCCAATCCGACAGTCCACAAAGGCCATTGCTTGTCTTCGCAAGACTATGATGAAGGGTGACCAATCGGATCCCTCGGCTACGGAGAAGATCCTGGTAACCTGTGTTGTTTTAGTTACATTCGCTCTGTTCCAAGGTGATGTTGATGCCGTTCGCTGTCATCTGCAAGCCGGCACTAAACTCCTCTGGGAGTGGAGGAAGAAAAGTCCCAAAACCCCGGTTGCTTGCATTTTATTACATACATTTATACAACTCCATATTCATTGGGCAAGCGCTACAAGACTTCAGGATTATCTGGATGGAGGCTATCCCTATCTTCAAGAACTTATCCATGATAACCTCCTGGATATCTCTGCACATGCCGATGAACCGTCAAAAGCCACTATGCTGGTGTCTGTGCAATGTTGGGCGTTAATGTTCAGTGATCCTGTGTCGTTTGATCCGCAGCACACCAATTTGTCACGAGGATTTACATGGGATACTCCCGCGAACAAGGTCCATCGATTTAAAACACATGTCGAGGAGTGCAGTGCTCTTCACAGAAACACTAGCTCTGCCACAGACCTCCGTGCTTTCATGATCCTCCAGATACAGATCGAGATGATTCAAGTTATCCTCGCCTCAACAACATTTTCAGGACCTGAAACCGAATGGGATTCTCTCTTTCCCCATTTCCAGCGCGTCGTCGATAAAGCAGAACTGTTGTTGAATAGCTTCAATCAATTACCCGACCCATTGTTTTCTGTCAAGGAAGGATTCTTAGCAAACCTCATGCTTTGTGGGCTCAAATGTCGGGACTGGACGGTTCGGCAGAAGGCGTTGGCTATCTGCAAAAAATACAATCGACGAGAGGGAATGTTTTCTACCGCTGAAGCTGTTATTCTATTACAGACTGTCTACGATTTTGAGTCTGCAGGGGTTCCACCGGGAGAGTATATACCTGAGTCCGCTCGTGTTCCCCTAGCGTACATCGCGGAGTATCCCAACCTTTCAAAATTCAACACTAAAACTCACATCAGATATTGTGATAGGGGTGGGAATTGGTACAGCAAATGGGTGTCATGATGACTTTCCTTACCACCGTTAAATGATTTCATGATCAACATTAGTTTATGAGTTATATATTTCGGGGTAGATAAACATAGACCACATCTTTCAAACCATCTAACGCCAATATCCGGCAACGAAAGCAAAACCAAAAGCCCTCGCCCTAAAATTCCGTCGGTAATGATTTGAAAGTAATCCCAATGTCATCTCATTCAGTATCGCGCATCACGAGTTAGTGGGACAAAGTGGACGGTAGGTGGCTCCATCCAGATGTTGCTGAAACCACGATGAGCTGCCCACACATGTCGGGCAGTAGAATATACTTCTCGGATCGTACTTTTTCTTGATGAGTGTTAATGGCACATAGTTTGTACCATAAAAGCTCGTCGCCCACAGGGGATCGTTGTGGTCGGCCTTTGTTGCAGTTAGCCCAATTAATTAACATCAAAAAAGAATCACCATGCCTCATTCATATAGCTGCCGAGGAGTGGGTCGAGCGCTCTCATAGCCCCTCCCTCAATATTGGTGATATCATCTTTGACAATTTCAGCAGATGAATGATTAGTCCAAGATCTGGCCACAATGTTGACAATGTAGGTGGACCGCCAGGCGGGATTGACACTGGAGTATTTGTCAGATGCGTCAGTGAGAACCTTTCCGCCCCCGACAAGCTCGACGGTATTGAATGTAAACTCCTCAGAATCCCCCGCAGTGGTACCAATCATGGTGCGAAGGGCGGTGCGACTGGTTGTCAAAGCAGCTTTGCCGAACATTTTTGATGTCATGGCCGAGTTAGGCGACGCAACCCCAACTGGCTAGGATACACCAGATATGGCCTAGAAGTATGCCCTATACGTTGGGAACTTATACCACACCACCAATATACGAAGTGAAGAGCTATTGTACTTCTGTAATGTCCGGAAAAGTCCATCGAAGCTTTTCTGAGACTGGACAAGGGACTTGTTCATAGCGGCGACAACGTGTATATGGCTGGCTGTTTGATTCGATTTAGGGCTGTTGATAAACCAGGAACCGTAGCCGGAGAATCCTGCATCTATGATGTTGGGATATTGCTGGTAGCTATCGGTAATCGAGTCTAAGAGTGAGTCTGTGTTTTTAACTAGTGGAGTAATTGCGAGGGACTGTGCGACAACCTGTGACTACGCCGTAAGTCCCGCCCCCTCCACCTCGAATAGCAAAGTACAGATCTGAGAACTGACAAGAGTTGGCCGTGACGATATCGCCATTCGCCAATACAACTTGAGCCTCTAGTACTTGGTCTGCGGCAAGGCCGTAGTCATGACTGGCTGGCGAGTGTCCCCCACCCTGCGTGTAAACGCCAATACAACCAACGGTCTTTCCACCACGGACTCCACTACACCTATTACGAGTTTGCGATTATTGGGATCTTCTGGTCCGTGCTATGGAGCGTAAAAGCCTCGTTTTTGGCGCTCTTCTGGATTATATCCAATGGGCTGCCCCGTTACCGACGAGTCTGGTAGGCGACCGCTGTATTCGCAGCCCTGGCATATATTGGATGTTGGATTGCGTCGGTGTATACCTGTCACCCGCCATCCAATTACTTTAAGTTTGGTAAGATATTTATTTCTCGGGTCTTCTAATATATTTATCTAACGATTTTCAGGAAAATGCACAAAGCCAATTGATCAGAGAGGCTCTGTCATTTCCAAATCGTATAGCACTGCAGTGGATATCCTTACAGACTTATTGAGTACAAATCCCCCTCTCACGATTCGATTAATTCCCGAGTTAATAGATTAAACAATCATATCCCTCCCACTCCGCATCATCTGGCAAGCAAAAATCAACATGCAGCAAAATATCGCGCTAGTAATAGTTTTCTGTCTTGGAATCGTAATTGTCGCAGCGGCAATTATCCGAGCAGTTGCAATCACCGGAAAGGCATACTCAGATCAAGCAGCACTCGCAGTATGGAGTGTCGTCGAATCATTGATGTGTGCGTTTGTTTGATTAGCAAATTGACGATGCGATCCTAATGATAATCCAAATAGCTATTATCGTTGGATGCCTACCGCCATTCCGAGCTATCATATCTACCAAGCCAAACATCAACCAGTCTCTTTACGGCTCTTCCGGTGCTACACCAAATTCCTATGACCGAAATCATTCTGCACGTGGGAAACACCGTTCCGACGCGGCCAGTTGGACTGAACCTTCGTTACCATTGCATGATCTTGGACCTACGAAACTAATTTGGATTACAGAACATATGCACAAGATGTGTGGATAAGTGGAGGTGAAATACTACCGAACAACGTGCTGCATAGTACATCGGAGGAGGCGCTTAGGGGTGATATAAAAATGGTACAAGAATTTGTGAGCTCAACGCTATCATATATATTCTACTACGAAGACCTAACTATAGTATGTTCATAGAGTGTGGTATCTTCTGGATGATGCTGTCTTCCAATCTCTCTGTATACCACGTGAATATAATTCTGCGTGGGGGACAAAGGGTCTTGTTACCTGATGCTGATGAGAAGACCTCAGCCTCCTTCTAATTCCAGTCCAGCCTTTCCATCGGTGATAATAGCCCTTGAATCTATTGCATGGCCCCGTGGGAACGTCGGGCTCGCTTCAAAGCTCTACAAACAGTTTCCAAAACACTTAAGCCAACACCCTACATTAGGAGGCTTTCATCAACTAGGAATACCTTAATACCTTGCCGGATTGGGTGCTTCTAATATATCAGAGTTGGGGACCGGGGAGAATCACAAACCTCCAAATGAGCGCTAGACTTGATGAGTTGTCTAGTACCACATCTTTCTACTACCTTTCGGTCTTGATGCTTGTTTCATGTTGACTTGTTGGGCACTTGCCAACCGAGCGCTAGCTACTCTTATGCTGGCGAGTGAAATGGACGAGTTCAACATCTCCCGCTAGGTAGTCCAGCGTTGTAAAAAATTAAGGGTAATTCTCACATCCTACGTGTACCTTGATCTCTTTACTTGTAGACCTTATTCTTGACACCGATACTATGCTAATAATTTAGATATTTATTCCTTACTTCCAAACACTCGCTTAATCGACCCCAACCGCGATTTCTTCTCGCTCGTCTTCCCAACCTTACCCTTTCCCCTATGAAGCTCCCGCAGCCGCCATAGCATCCCAAGCGCACTAGCAACCACGATGGTCTCTCCAACGGAGCTCTTACCATCAGGGAGAAGGATAAGCCCCTCACTGTATGACAGCCACAACGAATCATCGAGCCCGATGTGGTAATATACGGCCTGGATATCAGAATCTCTGGGTTCCTGCTGCGCCTCCTGTGGTGCAGGGTTGCGGACAAGTGTATACCGCAGGCGCCCATTCCGGCTGGGGTGGATCTGCCATTGATAGGTTGTTGATGCACTGTCAGCATCTGGGACCTGGAAGGTGAAGTAGGCGTGCTTGACGATGCCGGTACGGGTTGATGAGGTGGGAATAGGGTATGTCACACCAAGGAATATCTCGGTTTCATTTGCACCGTCTGTAGTTAAGATGGCTGCTTCCTCTTCGGTGGTGCAAATTGCCCTGTTGGTATGAGCGTGGGATTCTAAAAAATAATGGAGAGAATGGAACATACAATTCTACCTCAGCTGACAAGGATGCCGGTGCTCGGCATTTCACTGACCCTACTACCGCTTCTTCATCTTTTTCACGAATAAAATCCACATCGTACAAGACAGTGGTATCGTCTGGTCCGTCGCCCTGCGGTTTCGGCATGACTCCTATGGCGACGGCGTACTTGGTACACCCAACTGGGAGTTTACCCTTAGCAGCGTCATACTCGGCGCTGATATCATGGACGGCAAGGTGGGTTACTTTTCTGTCGTGACGAGGGATGTACAGCGCACGTGACAAGTGCGATAGAGCCGCGGCATCGGGATGTCCAATTACTGAACCAGCGGAGCGGGTGAGTTGGTTCTGCGATGTGTACTGGTCCCAGCCGGCCAAGCCAGCCGAGGCTCCCGCTGCGAAGTCGGCCATATCTGTTGATTGAATAATATCTCTGGAGTCAAGAAAAGTGTTTTGGTCTTTTGTTGTATAGTGTATGCGATTCGCATTATATAACTCCACTGGGATAGAGGTAGAGTGGGGAAATAAGGGTCCATATATACCCGTAGATTCGAGTAGACAGTGTGCACATCCTGAACGCCCGAGGCTGATTACTAGGTAAGCATTAATTGGGGTTAGATTGGCCGATAGGACAAGAACAATTCAAAAATGACGTTCCAAGGTTGGGGAAGGGGCTTAGCCCACGCCCGGGCGTTGTCGCCCGATTTATAATCTCCTTGCTTAAAGTGGAAGACGGTATGTTTCTGCCACAAAGTGAGGTTATAACGAACCGAACGCAGACTTATTCCGCCCTTCGGGGCATATGGTCAAATGAAAATATACAGAGAAGATTAGCATGGCCCCTGCACTAAGAATGACACGCTCAATCAAAGAGAAGCTACCTATTTTTTTTTAATTCACGCAAGCTTCCAAGGTTAATTAAGGAAGTAGAGCACATACTTGCTACGATGCATTTGATTGGTCCTATGAATGTGGAAGTCACGTGGCGTCGCCGCTCGACCCACGTCGCCTTGGATCCATATCTCACTTGATTTTCATATATCTTCAATGGGTTTTTGTTTGATGCCTCCATATGTCACATGATAAATTTTACCATAGTAGTAGTTACTGCTCTTTCTCCTCCATGATTGTTAGAACTATCTCTTTACAACACATACATTATGGCTTCATTTACTTGCCTGTAGATCTCAAGAGTTTTGATGCATTATATCAATGTAAACACTTTTAATTTTGGCTCAAAATAAACATGTCTCTGCTCTCTCCAAGAGCTTGACTCCGTTCCCAGCGGTGTTTTAGTGTGATCCCTCAGCCTCTTACGTAAATACCAATGCGTTCGACCTCGGGACATCTATAACAGACCGAAAAGAAAATGAATCAAAGGGAACACCGGGTGATCGTCAACAATCCTTATGAATGCTCCTTAGTCCATTTTATTTCTGCCTCTTGGAGTAGCCTCCAGGTAGATTCGCTCATTGGCCAAAACCCCATGAGTTTCCTCCCACAATCATCCTTCGCCTCGTAAGGATTCGCCCCGTGATCTAGCAGGGAGCGAACTATGGCATCATTTTGGCTGAAAATGGCATGAGTCAGCGCAGGCTGTCCTAACATATCAGTAATATCCGGGTCTGCGCCACGTTCTAGTAGCAAATTGACCATCGATTCCTTAACTTCATCCACAGCCCAGAGCAGGGGGTGCTCAAAAAGTCTGTCAGTTCTATTGATATATTTCTGGGGAGACCGTACATTTGCATCCGCTCCATAATCCAGAAGCAATCCCACAGACTTTCGATCATCACGCTCCACGGCTGTGAAAAGAGGCTGCACCCATTCCTCGCGGTACTCCGAGGAGTCCGGTATATCGGATAGACAGAACTGAGGGGATGCGCCACCTTGAAGTAATACCTCGAGAACTCCTCGATCGCGACGTGAAACTGCATAGGCCAACGCTTTGGTGCGGTTGAGACTTGCAGTTCCGGGGACCAACAGCCGGACAAGTTCTTCATGGCCCTGCTTCGCTGCCAGCATCAAAGGCGCATATGGCTGTGGCCGAATCTGATCCAAAAATAAGTCGGGTTCTTCACCGGATGCAACAATTTGTAGCGGCACAAAATCGTTGCCTCCATCGTTCGCAGGAATCAAAGGAGGGGTATCATCAAAACGAGCGAGGACGTCGACTTGCACTCCATGTGTGAGTAATAACCGGACAACTGGGACCTGGTTGGCAAAAACAGCTGCGAATAAGGCGTCTGTCATCAAGTCTTCTTTGTCGGGCTCGTTCCCGTTTTGCTTCGGGGCCGAGAGAAGCACATCGACCACATCCACATAACCTTTGAACGCCGCTATCCACACAGGTCGGTGGCCCACGAAGCTTCTGATATCTTGACAGGCTCCGATGTCCAGCAAATACTTTGCTAGGGAAGTATCACCGTTGATAGCAGCCAGGGCTAGCAGTGTGTGTCCCTCCGGGTTACTTACGTTGGCACTCACCCCGCGGTCAACCATGCATCGGACGATATTGCTATGACCGGCACTTGCGGCTAGCGAGATTGGGTGCGGCTGGAATTCTCGAAACGTGCGCCAAGCTTGAAGGCCGAATTGGGGGCATCGTGGACCTTGCCGTCTCAATTTACCCTTCGCCTGCTCCTTCAGGAGGGGGGCGCGAGCGTCTAGTGCCTTTTGTAGTGTATCTATCTTACCATTTTCCGCCGCCCAGTCTAAAGCAGAGCTGTTGCCGTGGAGCACATTGTATCGGTAAAGGCAAGGGTTGCAGATTCCGTAGAAGGGATGGCTTGACAAGGCCAAGGCAGCGAGAGACGATTCAGATGGCAGGTATGAGGCGATTAGGAGGATCAGCTCTGTTGGTAGGTTTTCGATCCTAGGCATCGTGTGGGACAAGCTGTCGATGGCGGAGAGAGGAGGAAAATATTGTAGTGAAAGCCCGGCGAATTGAAGTGTGGCCACTAGATTAGGACTAGCCGTGAAATAGATAAGAGAACAGATATACCCTCTCTACGCCGTAATTCGAGACTAGATTTTTTAGTGCGGGCTAGTGGCAATATAGGCTGTATTTGCCATACTAGTACTAGCCTTGTAGATTTATCAGGTACCATTTTGTACCACCCCCATTAGCCTCATAAGAGTCTCAACAGGCAACAGTAGCGTCCTCAAATAAGGTAAATTGGTGCTATACACGCTTGATTTTTCATTATTGATGCTCATATGCTGGACAAATCTTCAGGGCGAGAATTGCTCAATATATCGCCAAAGTTCAAGGAAGCAAACCATGGGTCCCAGTCCGAGAGGCTTGCAAGAGAGTCAAGATAGCCATCAAGTGGTGGCTCACCAAAGGACCATTGGTTCGAAGCCCAAGCTTTCATACGGAGCTCCTGTAGCTTTTGCCAGTCTGTCCCTGGCTCGGTGGAGAAGACTTCGAAGCAGGTTTCCACCACCTGCCGAAGGTCGAAAAATTCCGCAGAGTTGGGGTATTGGACCAAATCTTGGAGTAGTATTGCACAGGAATGAATCGCATTGAAATGGTTCAAAACCCATTTGTATGGCTTGAGTTCCGGGTCTACAGTGGCCGCGATGAATTCGTTGATGTAATTTCGAGAAGCGTCAAGTGCCTTGGTTCTTGAGCTTCGGGGCCACTCTTCTGTTCGCAAATATGGCTGATGTAGCATATATATCACTTTCCAACAACAAAGCCTCTGGCTGATTCCGACGAACTTGGTCGTGCTTTCCGTCGACCGAGATCGGGACTTCGATATCTCACTAGTGCATATACTCATGACTTCCTCGTCTAGACGACGGACGTCGTCTTCTGTTGGCACTGATATACCATATATCTCGTCGAGAATGTTTATCAGTAATGGGTTGATGCGGGACAAAGTGCTCATAAGCCCGCGGTTTAGACCACCCTCCTCTGATAATTCATGAACGTCAAATTTAGTACTGTGTATCAAGGGAGGCAGTGCATGGGCAAGTGAGTAACAGAGATCCAAGGTGTGAATTGACCACCAAAGCACGCGACGAGCATCACATTCATGAGGGGAGAGCTTAAAGCATGAAGGATCACGGTGCAAGCCGAGAGACTGAGAGGCCCGTAAAAGTGTACAAATTGGTTCTGGGTTCGGATGACAATCGCTTTCTGTTATAGTGGGCACTGCTAACAGGATAGCGGCCCGGATGGAGTCTTCATTCAGGTCGAGAGGATAACCAGAGGTCGAAAGCAGGCAGAGTGACAAGTCTTTCCATGACAACGTTGAAAAATTGGAAATAGTAGGGTCACCGCAAGCATCATTGGAACATGCAGCAGAGTAGCAAATTGCAGATACCAGCGACCATAGGCTTTCTGGGTGATTTGGTTGATTCTCCAGATTCTCTACAATGTTGAAAATCTTCGGCATGTTAACCACTGGATACCACAACTGGCAGTGTTGTTGGTACCAGGAAAGCAGCCTATGAACCTCGCCAAGTCTGACTAGGTTCAATATGACGATAACTGATGCGTCTGTGCTAGATGTGGAATCATACGCAGATAAAGTAATCGGGGGGTCGGGGGGCAAAGTAGACAAACCGTCTGGAAATGAACTCCTGTCTGAGCTATCGGTGCCAAGAACCGTAGATTTCCATGAAGAGCTTGAAATGTATCGGGATTGTGTATTGTAAGTGGCTGATAAACATGAAGACTGGCCAAGAGCAATGGATTCATTGTCCAGAGGTGTGTTGTCCTTGGGTCGAGCAGTCGTCTGGCCGAACTGGCCTCTGGGCCTCGTATTGTCGCGGGGCGGAGAAGGCCGAGTATTTTTCTTGTTATCAAAATGATAACTACATATGCGGTTGTTATCCATGCACCTCTGGCAGTGTGGCTTCGATTGATCGCATTTCACTTTTCGTTTCTGGCATGGTTGGCAAGCGAGGACTGCGCGATGTCGCTGCAGTCTGGGACGATCTAGACTCAAACGCGTGCCTAGGTGAGCGTTCATGCCTTGAGTTGACATACCGCACAATTGTGATTCTGAATTCCTGCAAAATTTCGAACATTATGAAGTTGGCAGAATGTACGTCAAATCCAACCCCGATGTGTAGATTATGTAATAAATACTCTGGGGTCAGAGAACCGATCGGGACTTTCCGCCAGATGATCTTCCGGAAAGGGCTAGTGGGGATAATCCACTTTGTAATACGCTAACCGCATTGGGAATCTTTTTCGGCCGGCCGAGTTGCCTCTATCAGAATTTATGTTACGCTTTGCAATCAAGATCGGACTAGATTCGTCTGGTTGCTCATATTCCCAGCCCAGGATGAGATCTCCCGTGGGGAATTAGTGACACCAGTCGATTTGAAGCTTCAAACATGACGTTAGTTCCCCTTCGTAATATCGGAGGGCCGAAAGACCGACAGCTCCGTAGCTCCGTCACGAATCTCACCATTCTGATAGGCTTCACTCATGAATTTTCTCCGGGACCGTGACATCATTTCTTCATGAAATACAAACACCCCCCCTTGTGGGCTCCAAGCTGTCTCCATACTGTTGTAACTTGTTTTTATTATAAGTAGCAGCACGATATCCCGGATGTCGACCATCTCACCAGTGTGCCATTCTCAAGCTACCGACTCGCCAATATCTCATTGTGATTGAACTCTGTTGAAGAATAGTCGAATATTTCCCCCGCTTGGTCGAGATTTTCTTCCTTTGCCTATGGCGACAGCAACTAAGATCGAGCTGTCTTTCATGGCGGACACGGGAGTGTATAGCTCTGGACTACGTGAGGATACAGCCCGAGCTACGAGCGACGCTCTGCAGGAAGATATGGAACTCCATCATATATTCTTCAATGACGAAAAGTTTCATAGTAAGTCTAGCTTTCTCTTGCTATCTTCCTGATTTGAAGTTGTCGAGAAGCTTACTGGCAGTCATACAAAGACCACACCGTGCACCACCTCCTCAGTCTATATGCCCTCGGTGCAGGACCGGAGGATATCAATGCTGCATACAAGCGAAATAGCACCTACCAGAGGCCGGTCTACCCCACTGATATGGGTGTGGTGCATGCGATGTACGAGGAAGCCAGGTTCACAGAGTGCTTAGGCAAAGAAGAGAACTATCCCAATTACCTGGCTTTTTTTCAACGAGAGATTGATGCATACGGAGTAGGCGCGGTACTAAATCAATACGTCTTTTCTGGTGACGATCGAGCTGAAAGCATGCTGTCTCGTCTGTTTGGAGGTATGTGGTTGATCTTTTAACTCAAGGGTCTGATTCTGACTATGTTGAGGTACGAGCTAAGTGATGCATTGCAGGTGTCCTCCACCCTATCATTCATCTTGGGTATGGGCTCGAGTTCAACCAGCCAGCAATCGTGGCCCAAGCACTCTCCTTGGCAGCCGTTCATGGTGATTGGATGGGCCGTAATTTCCTCTTGCCTGCAGAGAGGATGGCCAATGGGATCAAAAGCCCAGAGCAAGCGTCTTTGTTTCAGCTTGTGAACGAGATCCGAGAAGACAAATCCCTGAAACAGAGTGTCCGATGGACCGATACGGTCAAAATCAGAGATGGGGTGCTGAATCGTGCACCGCAGCAGATGTTGGGTTATGCTGCTCGCTACACGGTGTCCGAGAATCAGATAACAGACCGATTGGCTGACATTATCAGCACGGTTGGTGAGTTCTATTCGTGCTGAAATATTCTCGAGGCAAACTTCCGTCTAATGACAACTGTTAGCGTACTATATCTCCGCGGCCCAACGTCCGAACAAGGGAGTCAAGTTTGATTTCTTCCTTATTCATTGTGCCAACTTATCCATCTTCTTTCCTAAGCTTCTCGCGCTTCCACTACTAAATCAACGATCCAAGCTTCGAATGCTGGAATGGAAAGGGCGCATGGACCTTTTGATGTATGTGTCATCTAACTCGCCCGATCTGTTGATCGATGAGGTGATCCACTATCCTGTGAATAATGACTGGTCGACGATATTTGCTCGATGTGCTGCCCACCCAATCGATGACGGGCATTTAATCAAATTCATACGAGCTCTAGCCTATGGAGAGCGGGTCTGCCAGGAGTCTGAAGGTCAATCCCTGCCAATCTCTGGGGATATGTGGCTGCGAATTGGGAACATGGGTATGTACTTGACATTGTATTGGAGGAAGTGCTTCGTGTTAAATATGCTACAGTGATAGACTCCACGGTTGAAGGGAGCGAACAGGAGATGTGGAACCGATACACTGGGTTCGACGAGGCTTGGGAAACCCTTTCTGAGCGCGCAACGCTGTGATATTGAAATGCATATGATGGGTACACCTTCAATAACCGTGGCCCGGCCACCACTACCTTCACCGCGCCAGCCAGTTGCACAACTGCCGGTGATGTCAAGATTGGAATCAACACCTCGTCTCCTTTCTTTAAATATCGGGCACAATGCTCCACAGACGGTGCTTATGGCTGCACCCCCACTGGCACCATTTCCCCATCTATTACCCTAGGTTCCAATCCAAATGTGATCTACAATTATCCATTTTATTTCCCAGGTCTATACTGTCCATCTGGATGGGCAACCGTAGGAGTCGCTTCCAGCGATGGTGACAAGCCTACAAGCTTGTCGAGTGTTTTAAGTGCCTTGACTACCACGGCAACGGACTCAAGACTCAACGACGATAAAATCGCCACATGGAAGAACCCCGCTACGATTCTACTGGAGCTTCTAGATTCGGGTGAGACTCTAGTGATGTGTTGCTCCAGGTATGTGCGATGCGAAATTTTATCAGTCAAAACATATCTGATAGCTAATTAAGTTTGCTTTCCAGTTCCATGACGGCCCACCTTGACTTCGGCTGTTACTCAACCGTCTCACATATCGATGCGACAATTGGATGTCTTCGTATGATTCCTAAGTCAGATATTGGCGCATCAACCCAAACTGTCATTGTGGATGGGACGACCTCCACGGATCTCCTGATTATCCTTACTGCTTCGTATCCCGGCACTACCGAAACTACCGAAACCATAACCTTCGCTTCTTCGGAGTTGGATAGGCTTGGTACTGTCTCTGTTATAGACATTCTCCCCATGATGCACCGTCAATCCGACCTTAAGACAACTGGAACAGCTGGAGCTGCGTCCACGGATGCTACGTCTACTTCCAATTCTGCGGCGAGACCTAGCCCAAAGGGCAACTCGTGGGATGGACTGTGTGGTATTCTAGGGGTATCACTCACTTCTATTGTTCTGGGTGCGGCTGTGATCCTATAATTCTACTTCATTTTCAGTTATGAGAATATGAAAACTCAAGTAAAATTATCGATACATGTGTACGAAGTGAGGGAAAGTAGAATGTAACATATGGGGATATATATCCTCTAACCCGGTTCTAAATTCATTCATCTAACCCACATCCTAGGCCGTAACACGAAATCAATGAAGCAATTGTTTTCGGCATTCTCTTTTTCAATTACCCTACATACAACATTATGCACATGTACTTCCGCCAAGACCTTCAGCTTGCACTGCTGAAACCGATCTAAATAAGAACTAACTCAAAGTTTATGGGGCGTTCCAAAGTTGGCTATGGGGCAACTACCGGGCAATGCCAGTACGTGAAATTAGGTTCTATGACCAAGCCGCCCTGGAACCTGACCAGTTAGAATTAACCTGAAATAGGGGCCCTGCAGGTACGGGTACGGGTCTGAGGGGTCAGTGCACCTTGGATGAATCTTAGCCTGTCCTTTTTGCACTCCCCCCACAACTATGTAGTACAAGCCACACGGGCAGTGAGCAGAACGGTAAGCTCAAGGATTAAATGATATGGGTGATTTTGGTTAAATTTGGACGCTAAGTTCATCTTATCCTGCGTCGAGCAGTTTTATTAAATTCGCGAATCCGACTCTCAATATCTTAACTCGAAAGGTCTTATACGTCCCCGCCATCTTTTGATGATCTACCAGAAATACGGAGTAGATCATCAAAACTACCAGAATTATGGGTTCCGTCTCATTTGCTAACGCTCCGTAGTCACACACTATGCTTTATCAATAACAGCTTGAGGTACCATGAACACATTTATTATTATGGCTCATTGGGGTGTTCATTTCCGAGAACTCAACTTGCCCCCGAAAGTTTTGCAAGCCGGTGATTCAGGATTTCATTAACAGATTGAGAGTTATCTGCAGCTATCCATGATCCACTGTATCTCTTGGATTATACTCTGTGGCTGTACAAGCTGCACATTGTGACTGCACTGCAGACGAACAGATCTGCTGAGACGAGAAAGCCTCAAAAGGTCTCTTTGCCAGTCCTCATTCATCTCGCGCCATCTATCGAGACATTTTCGGAACAGAGCTCGTTCTTGTTCTGTTCCATTGCCTGCGGCCACTCCAAAGTCATACATTTTCTGGAAATCTTTGGGTGTATCCGCAATAATGACACTGACCGGATAATCCTTGAGAAGTAGCTTTTCGAGTTGATTTTTGTGGGCCAATGCCCGTCTGTCATCCGGCACTGCCTGCAACTCAGCACCCTCGGTGGCCTGATGTCGGGGATCAGCCTGCTCATCTTTGACCGCTTTCCACTCCTCCTCGGATAGGACATGGGACGTTGCAAGACCGGTGGTTTCAAAAAAGTCTTGGTCACCTAAGACTGGACTGAAAGCTTCCCAACCCCACGCACCACTGTCAAAGAAACGTTCAGTATTGCAATCCACGAACACCATTCCCACGATATCATTAGGCCTGAGTTCCAAAAACTCGCGAGAAGTGTAGCCTCCCCAAGAGTGAGCGACAATGATAAATGGAGGCTCAATACCAGCGTTCTTTAGGAGGGTATCAAGCTCTATTGCGACAGATGCTGCAGATATGCTTGGTGGTGTTTGGCTGGGACCTTCACTCCTACCCATCCCTGAACGATCATAGTTCAACCAACGAGCAAATGGAAGCACAAGCTTTCGCACTACAACCCACTCATCGATCGTGCTGCCAACGCCTTGCATGAGAATGACGATAGGTTCTCCAGGCTTGCGATCTGGACCCGAAACGGACAGATAGAGGTTATGTGAACCGACGGAGACAAGCCCATCTTTATAACCTTTGTCCCAGTCAATTTTAGAAATTGATTGCATTGTGAACTGGATGTGAATTCAAGTTGAGCAAGCAATGAATTGACGTCGAGTTGTTGGATAATGGGGAAGTGAAAGATGCCCAAGCCCCCGCTTTACAATGAGTCATTAAATACTAGTTCCCAATACGTTCTATAACACTATATATGTATTGAACTAACGTCATAAGGATTACCGTGGCTTCCGCTACTGTACAATACAATTGAATGAAGAGAAATTTCACACGCGCCTTCAAGGGGTAATGACTATTTTTCATAGGATCTCTCATTATACCAAGGGTCATCAAGAAATTGTCACCGCTCGACTATCACTGTAGTTCACTAGAACACGTTTGTAGTATATACTTGAAAAGGCCGGTCAACGGTAGGTAGCCTTGATAACTATATTTAGAAAACTAACTAACGATCTACAGGTGATGAGCATAGCCTTATTAGGTTCCGAATCCGCAATTGATAGCCAGATATCTTTTCTTGTACTCCTACCGTGATCGATGACTAGGTGAAAAGGGCTCTAATATAGTAAGCCTTTGTAGTCAATCTTTCTAGGTTATAGCTGGGCATGGTATCTGCATATCTCGATATTTAGGTCCTAATTTACATCATATTTTGCAAACATATTACACTAAACGGACAATGCGACATGGTCCAGCATTGGAGCAGTATGCTCTATGTCTCCAGACCACTTCGCCTAAATAAGAATAACAGCACCAACCACAGCTCCAGCAACCGCCATCAATGGACCAGCATGGACCCCGGCAATATTTGTTGAGACAGGCGTAGCAGGGTCACTCGAGCCAGCCGAACCAGTCTCAGATGCCTCTGAGCTCGTTGACTGAGTAGGAGCCTCTGTAGTCGAAGGAGCAGTGGTGGTGCCCGAAATACTATGCGAGGAAGTCTCCGCGGCCACCCCAGTAGAAGATGAAACTTTAGTATCGGTCGTGGCAGTGGCAGAAGTAGAAGTAGTTTCAGCAGAGCTAGCGGACGCAATTGTCGAAGAAGCAGCGACAGTTGAAGGCGACCAGCATGAGAGGGTAGAGGTCGTGGATACGCAGGGCTCTGTTCCTCTGTAGGCAGCGCAGCAGGGTTCGTCGTATTTGACAGGAGCACGGCCGCCGCCGCAATCGAGCGGATCACAGACTTGCCCGTTTGTCGGATCGTACCAGTGGACGATTGTGTCGGCGCAGGTGGTGTAGCTGATAGTCTCGCACGCAGCAAAGACAGTCGTTGCCAGCATCAACAATGATGCGGCGGTGGGAAGGGTTTTGTGGACCATTTTTATGTCCGGATTGTCGATTTTGGGGGGTATTCTTTACTTGTAGAGGTGAGTAGGATTGTAGAGTTGTGGTTGAAGATAAACGAGGAAACAATAGGAGACTGGAAATGTCTACCCGCTAATTAGACTGGTTGAAACCCAATGAGTCAAGAATACGAAATTAAGGGACAAAAAGATTAAGGGCCGAGATCAGATATTTCATCAGCCTCGTTTACCTAAAAGAGGGCGGCCCCCGGGCCCTATTTGAGCCCTGCTTTAATTGGTTATGAGGGCCGCTTGGACCTCCAGACGTCGGTTAGACCCTAGGGGGCCACCCCAGAGAGGGGGGGCTCGGATGTATCCAGGCGAACTATATCCCAATAGGCTAGCGCTTAAGCTGGTATGGGCACTTTTCCATCACTTTTTTTTCATAAATAGGGGGCCAAGTAGGGCTCTTGTGTCCCTATTTCCAGAAAGGTCTCATCTGCCTAACTTATCCGTCGCTGGTTCTTGTCATTCACTTTTGTCATTCGTTTATATTGACCATGGCGCGATTTCCTGTTGTCTTCGTGCTATTCGCACTCCTGGCTGCTACTCTAGTCGCTGCATTCAACCAAACATTGGAATTAGAAAATTCGAATTGCGATGTGAGTCAAACTTTTACACAAACATACTTCAATTGCAAATTAGCAAGAGCTTAATGACTGATATATATATATTTTACTCAGAACAACTGTTACTTCGACAGCTTCCCCGGCGGGTCGTGCACGGACGACCCAGCATGCATGTGTGACAAGCAGCAGTACCGCGAGGCGTACTTCTGCTGCATGAAGGATTGTAACCCTAATGTCATGCCTGGTAGGTTAATTATTTCTATTTTCACCCTCTTGTCCCTAACACCATTTGCCAAATACACCAAGAATAACAGCTACTGAACTTTGCGATCTAGATTCCATTACCCGGCAGCATAGGGAATGTAAAGCCAGAAATATGGATTTCACCTTCGATGCAGAAGCTCTTTGCGGTGTCAAGCTGACTACTTCCGCCGGTTTCCTGGTGGCGGCTGCTACTACTACTTCCAGTGCTTCTGCTGCTACTGTTACTGTTACTGCTACTCCTGCCGCCGATTCTACCACCACTGGTGACCCCAAGTCCTCAAAAACGTCCGCCTCTACTACTTCTGCAGCGTCATCAACGATTATCCAACAGGCTTCTTCTACGGGGAATCAGACCAGCTCAGCCAGTTCGACGCCAGCTCCTACCAATGGCGCGCCAGGAAAGGGGGCTATCGGCAATGCTGCCCTGATTCTAGTTGCTTTATCTGCCTTGATGTTGTTTTGAGACACCATTTAATACGAAACAACAATAACAGATGTTCTAATTTCTAGATCTTGGTTCTCTCTTACTTAGGCTATAGGAAAGCAAGAATCATTCAAGTAGTTTACGATAGACAGGGACTAACCGTGCAACATTCCCAACTTTAGACCTTTGAGGATGAAGAAACGGCTCCAGTAGAGAAGTTCGTTCGATATCGTCTAAGTAAACCCGTTGGTATGGAGGTATCTACGGTATGTATTAGATAGCTCCATGTCTAGATAAATACAATAATTCAAGGGTGAATAGAGAGGAGGGTTTAGGAGTAAGAGTGAAAGTGGAGTGACAGAAGAAACCAGCCCAAGAGTAGCATTTAGAGCACCAGTCCTCTATACGATTTCTACTTTATACTAACTTCGTAGATATTTAATAAGTCATCTAAAAAGAACATCCAAAAGCACATCGGAATTTTCTTATTTATAACTATACTTGATAGTGCCCAGCACTCGAAACAATTCCCTTTCCGTTTTGGTCCTCACCTCTTGCCGCTTTTTGGTCACTAAGTAAACGTCCTATAAGTATAAGCTCGCATTCCTTAATGATAGCCCGCGCCCTATTAGCTCTGCTTTTTGATATGGCCTAGTAGCAGAGTGCTCTATTTCTTCCAAATCCTTCCTCTCACTCTTTTCTTCTCTGTCCTAATTTTACTGGACTTGACGGAGTCTAGAGTTGACACACAAGAATGAATGAATTGATTCCCGAAAAAGCAACCATCCAAGAGAAAGCTAACAAGCTAAAGGCCCAATGGCCCAGGTCCCAAGCAAAGTATCGGTACACATCTTTGCTCCGTGCAGGTTTAACAGGACCATACCAATAGCTCTTCCAACAAAATGTCCCAAAAACCAAGTAGACATTTAGCATGAAGCCACTGCAGGGCTATCAAATGCTTAGGAAACAGTGATGGAGGAGGATCCACTGCTCTCGTATCCCTCAGTGCTGACAATCTGGTAGTTGTGCGAGCCGAGACTCATTCCAAGAGAAGCCCAAGCGTTGAAGTGGTTAGCAGTGGTGACAGTTCCGCTGGAGCGCTTGGAGCGGCGGATGGACCAGTACTGGTTGAAGGTAGCAGTTCCGGAGATGGAAGGCTGGTTCACCTGCTGGTGGGTATAGATATCGTAGACGGATCCATCGCTGGTCACGGTTCCCTTGAAGGTCATGCTGCTGCCGGGGTTGTACTCGCCATAGCTTTCCATGATGTAGTATTCGACGAGGGGGCTAGTGGTCCAGCCGTAGACAGCGAGGTAAGCATTTCCGGAGGGGTTGAAAGACCCGGAGAAGTTGATGTTTCTAATGTGTTCTTGTAAGTATATTATCGGGAGAAAGATAGGTGAGTTTAGCTTACCGGGCGCTTCCAGTAGCCCAGCCCTTGCCAGAGGTGAAAGATCCGCAGTTGGTCCAGTCGACGCTGTACTGACCCGCAGCACCGTTGTTGTAGGAGACACTGCCACCACCGTTGGTCCAGAAAGAGTAGAAGTAGCCATTGCTAGTTCCTTGCTGGCTCGTGGTGATCGCACGCTTTTCCACCTCGCTGGGAAGCGCAAGGGCAGTCACGGCAGCACAGGCAGCCACGAAGAGGCTTGAGAAGGAGACCATGGTGAAGGATCAGATGCTTTTGGTAATTGAGGACGATGAATAGATTGGAGTGGGTTGTTTTGTGGCAGGGGTTTTCTTCAGGAGAAGGCCTTCCTTTTATATTGATAGGAGGATGTGGGGCGTCAACGGGTGTTTCTAAACAGTTTCATCTCCCGGATATGTCTTAGATTTCAATTTAGCCAGCGACCCATTTATCCCATACGGAGTACATACTCACGACTCCCAATTGCACAATCATGGTCCGTAAACGGACCACGATCCGTTTCCTATCATGTCTTAGCGGCAGTCCATCACATCATCCTCAAGTAAGTGCCTCCATCATTCAACCAGCCTAAAATCCAATTTATCAGTGATTTAAGTTAAGGGGGCTTACGGCTGGACCCTCGAAGCGGCTAAACTTCGTCGCCAAGTGAAAACAAGAACTTTGAAGAATCCAGCCACAGGCACAGAAGCAAATGCGGGGAAATTCATCACGGCTGTACGGAGTAATGGGTGTAGCTTAGCTCAACCCAGGCTAAACCTAAGATCAGGCAATTTTCAAGGCCGGCAAAACAAAGGCTATATGACCATTTTCCCGGACCATTTCAGTCATCAGAGAGGTCAATATAGAGTCAGCGAATCGCGACAAGGTGGCCGACCCATCCACGGATCAGCGGATGTTTATCTCAACCGAATCTTGGCAAGTGGATATGTATCTTCCTGTGTAGATGGCGTGGGTAGGTAGTAGATAGATGGTAGGCCACGATCTGATATTTGAACCGCATTTACTCCGTATGCAGCGACACAATTCGTGGTCAGAAGCGGGTTTGCTCAGAATATCCCGCGAGAATATGGCCCACGGTCGGCTCTAAATGCAATACATGCATGTGTTTTGTTTTCTGTCTATCGTTTTCAGCCTGTTTATACGATTGATCAATTTATTAGCCTTCTTTGGGCACTAATCTGTTCCAACCCTCTTGTTAGTGGCCATTTGTCAAGATGACCCATAATCCCGCCAAGAAATATTCGAACGTAGCGGTCACGTGAGATTCGGGATCGATGCTTAGTAAAGCGGAATTCTCGGAAGCTTGGAATATCATGCCATGCACATTTATCCCAGATACAGGTGTCCCGACTTTTCAATCTCTCTTCAAGGACAAGATCTCGTGAGCCTGGCAAGTAGCCAGAAATATTTCCATCGCCTCTGATTTGCCCCTATGTAGCACGGTTATCATATGTCTTGCATCTCGACCAGATCTGATTTTAATCCGTGCGGCTCCCCACAAATAAGCCACCCTTTCGGCTTGCTTGAGGCTTAAAACTTCTCTCATCTTTTAAAATATTTGGGATCACAAGACTGGCAAATCACAGGGGATTTTGTAGTGTTTGGACAAGTGTGAGCATGATTCTAACTGCACTCAAGTAGCTTCAACGCGACTTTCGCAGAAGACGAGGTATATTTCTCGAATGTTCGGGATCCCGAGTACGAGAGGGATGATGTCAATTTATCCTCATCCCAGTTGATGGTTTGCACTTTTGGAAGTTACTTGATAATCACATAATCTTTCAAGTCTCACCTGAGCAGGTGTCGACATCAAACAGATAGAGCTACAGTGTGCATTTGACTATGAACCAAGCATTCATAAAATTCAATGCCGGGAATTTTCACTTTCATAACTTCCGGTATGTCTCAGAGTTGATCCACATTCTCGCGAGAAAAAGGTTATATGCACAACCAAATGATGTATGCTTCAAAGATTCAATCAAGGAACCATTACAGAACCGTGACATTTGCCACAGGTGCTCTGAAGTACTCCATACTTGAGCCCAGTGCAAGGGGCTATGCTGCAATACGCCCCTGTCGGCACCTTTGTCTCAATGATACGGTTCCACCATGCCAATCGCCTCCCCTGGGACTAGCGAGTGCTTGGCATAATTTGTGGGCTTCCGTTTCCCAAAACATACTAATGGTCACGCGAGCAGTCCTCGGTACCCCAAAAAGTTGATCTAGCCACATTCCACTCTGTCTGCATGTCAATCTGCACGACATTGAATTGGTGCAACCTTGCAGTTGATTTTCCTGGCTATTTTGGCCGAAAATAAATAGTTTCCTTCTGGTTAGAATACAAATAAGCTTAACCAAGTCTGTCTCGTGGCTGGTTCTCAGGTAAAGGCTATTGTTAGCACGCGTGAATTCACTATTGGCACGGCGAGCTAACCCCTTTGGGAATGGTATTCCTTGGCATCCTCTTGTCAATACAAGTGCCATTTATCAAGTGCACCACAGTAAATGATACAGTGTTCGTTTAACCCTCATAATTTAACTATAAACAGGCTAGTTTACTATACAACTACGTGAAAATAAGGGGTTCTCGTGAAAAGAACCATGTAGCTACAGCTGGAAGCATTCTACGTCATGTTAATATACTGAGATAAAATGAATGGCACTTGTATTGAAAAGTGGACGCCAAGGAATGTTAACCCTAAAGGGATTAGATCACTGTGCCGATAGTGATTTCTGCTGTACCAAGAGGGTTTTGCCTTTTTTGCCATTTTGCTTGATATTTTTGCGTCTATCAACATGAAGTCGGCCCTTGTCAAGAAGGTGCTTGGCTTGCAAGATCCTCCCCATCGACACAATGAAACGGCATTGCCTCACGATACAGATCCGACTGTTCGGGAATGGTTAAGCGATGGCATTCCCTCCAGACAGCAGGCGGGACAATACTTCGTGAGGCTGTTGCCCTTCTTAAAATGGATCCAACACTATAACCTTCAATGGTTTCTGGGAGATTTGGTTGCAGGTACGTGTCTTTATTAACTTGGGTCCCAGCTCCTGCTAACTGTCCTAGGTATAACGGTTGGAGCTGTCGTGGTTCCCCAGAGTATGGGATACGCCAAACTGGCAAATCTTCCGGTGCAATATGGACTCTATACCTCTTTCATTGGTGTTGTTATCTACTGGTTCTTTGCAACATCCAAAGATATCACGATTGGGGTAAGCTACCCAGGTAGTGTCTCATCCGGTGCTTGCATGGGCTAATCAACTGGGCAGCCTGTAGCTACCATGTCAACCGTTCTAGGCGGCATTATCACCGATGTTCAGAAAGACCACCCCGAGATTGGAGGCCCGGAAATCGCCCTATCAGTCGCCATGCTTTGCGGATGCATCATTGCATTCATGGGCTTCGCACGACTAGGTTTCATCATCGACTTTATTCCGGTTCCCGCAATTACAGCCTTCATGGTCGGTTCTGCTATAAGTATCTGCTCGGGACAAGTCAAGGGACTATTGGGCCAAACAGGAGACTTTGAAACGAGCACTCCGTCATACCGAATAATCATCGACACGCTGAGGTATCTTCCCACCGCACAAGGATACGATGCTGCCATGGGTCTTACAGCGTTGTTCGCTTTATACGCCCTCCGATCAGGCTTCAACTATGGTGCAGCCAAGAAGCCACGCTTCGCCAAGCTCTTCTTCTTCCTTGGCGCCTTGCGCACAGTGTTCATCATCGCTCTTTACGCTCTTATCAGTCTTGGCGTGAACCACCATCGCCGCGACAATCCCGCCTTTGCTTTGGTTGGAAACGTGCCAAAGGGTTTCGACAAAGCGGGTGTCCCTGTACTCAGAGCCAGTGTAATCAAGCTCATCGTCTCCCAATTACCCGCATCCGTGATCTGTCTCCTCATCGAGCACATTGCAGTCTCAAAAACATTCGGCCGTGTTAACAACTACACGATTGACCCCTCACAAGAGCTTATCGCCATCGGCATCACCAACATCCTCGGTCCCTTCCTCGGTGCCTTCCCAGCGACAGGCGCCTTCTCCCGCTCGGCCATTCAATCCAAGTCCGGGGCACGCTCTCCCTTCACCGGCATCATCACCGCCATCGTCGTCCTGATCGCCATGTACACATTGACCTCCGGCCTCTACTACATCCCCAAGGCCACCCTATCAGCCGTCATCATTCATGCAGTCGGAGACCTGATCGTCCCACCCAACACCATCTACCAATTCTGGCTCATCTCCCCCCTCGATGCGGTCATCTTCGCCGTGGGCCTAATCGTCGCATTGTTCAGCACAGTCCCAAACAGCATCTACACAACCGTCTGTATCTCCGTAGCCGTCCTATTATTCCGCCACGCAAAAGCCCCAGGCCAATTCCTCGGCCAAGCCTGGGTAAACGACGAAAACAACCAAATCCCTCTTTATCTACCTGTGGACGAACCAAAAGCCGACCCAAACATCAAAATCGAAAGACCCCGCCCAGGAGTCTTCATCTACCGTTTCTCCGAAGGCTTCAATTACCCCAACGCAAGCCACTACTTCGATGACCTCGTCCAAACAATCTACAAGCATACCCGCGGGACGAACGCGGAGATATACACGAAAAAGGGCGATCGCCCCTGGAACGAGCCGGTCTCTTCCAGTACAGATGATTCCCATCTGCCGATTCTACAAGCTGTCATTCTTGATTTCTCGGCTGTCAATAATGTCGATGTGACCTGTATCCAGCGTTTGACGGATATCCGCACGCAGCTAGATCGTCGGTCCACACCTGTTGTTGTGCAATGGCATTTTGCCTGTATTAAGAACCGATGGACGAAGCGTGCGCTAAATGCAGCGGGCTTTGGGTATTGGCCGTTACCTCAAGAGGGGGTTGTGAGTGAAAAGGGCGCTGGAGAGCCAGGTTCTGAAGGATCTTCCTCGGATACCGAGAAGGGTATGGAAATGTCTGTATCATCGACGCCGGACACTGCGGGTCGGCCGTTCTTCCATCCTGATTTGACGACTGCGTTGCGAAGTGTGGATGTATATTTAGCCCTGAATCCTTCTGTTTAAAATAGACTATATATGAATATAAAGAAACTTGACTTGTTTCATTGAATAAAATGTGCATTGTGGCCAATCGTAAACTGTGAATCCATATCTCATGTACATGGGGGAAAATATCAGGGTTATCAACCTCAACTCCAACCGGGAATATCGCAAAAAGAAACACCAATATGCAATAAAA